CGGCGACAGTTGCGAGAGCGTCAGCATTGCGGCTCAATGTCGCCGGCATTGGAGCGACTTGAGCTAGGTTCGTTAAACTCGTCCGAACATGCCCATTCCCCATCTGTGGAATGGACTGAAAGAGGGAGGGGCCTTTGGAGCGTGGTTATAAGTTTCTAGCGCGTTCTTTTCTCTTCCGTACAACTCACCACTCAAGTTTCATTATTGAATAGCTCTTACACACCCATTTTATCTCCAGACTTGTCTCTGAAAAACCTTTTGGAACGAAATCATAAGCCTTCCTCACCTGTAGCATTCTGCCTGACAAGCTGTTGAATGGAACATCAAAGGAGAACATCTCATTAAAATCTGGATCCAATGTCTTCTTACAAATTCTTGTCTTACAGTGATTCCGCCGTTCCGGTAACAGATACATTTTCACATATGGATCAACTGTTCGACCTTTTTCCTGTAACAGTGGCTTTTAGCACCTCATAGTAACACGAAGAACTTACACATAATCTCTGCTTTTTTAATGGCCTGAGGTCTTAGTTTAGCTTTTAATTACCCCTGCTCGAATTATGAGCCTCGTTATGTGGGAGTCTTATGACACTAGACCTTACCATGGGGTGCACACCTGATGAAAAAAGAAGGATCGAGTGCAGTTCAGAACAGGGTCAGCTTTTCAAAACCCTGGATTCCCCATCAAATCATCGCCTTCAAAAATCGACTTCAGGATGATTATCTAGCGATATTTGCTAAAAGATCAAAGGTGAATGATGGCACGTGGCACGACTTATCACGCCCTAGTCCGGAAAAGAAATCTAGGGTCTAATCTCATCCAAACCAACTAAGCCTTCCATTTCTCCAGAGTCAATTGATTTTGTTTGGTACCTTTACCCCGGATGAGCACTGTTTATACATCGATTCTCCTAGAGAAATTTTCTAAACTAAATTGCTTCTAAATGCTATTTAAAGGACGAATTCACGATTAGAATGAAGGTCGAAGAAGGAGTAATTCACCTAGTTGAGGGACCCGCGGACCTCCTAAGGGTGCGGACTGAAGCGCAATTGGCACCGAAGGAGTTGACCTCGGCGACCTATTAAGGCTCAATCTTGGCGCGGTGGGCCAGTGCACGCCCACCGATCATCTGATCACGCCGCAGGTCTATACGTGGCGAGTGATTAGATAGGTGAGAGAGCGTAGTGTTGAAGAGGGCACAGCGATGATAGTCGCATCAATGCTCAAATCAACGGGCAAGGAAGGGGTCCCATTTCTCGGGTTCTGGGCCGTTTCTCATGGTTTTTCCTTCTTTCGTGTACCACTCACCATCGCTAAGTTAATTTGAAATGGGTTGCCTTTCCAGCGTGAATTCGTCCTTTAATAAATTTCGTATAAAGCTGCTATACCAAGTTATTACATTTCTTCAATTAAAAAAAATCCGAACAGATGTTCCCACGGCAGCCGTGTTTTTTCCATGGCCCCGACGATGGTGGTCGTTTATGCGAATGTGAAAGCAAGTAAACAGGTCATCCCATTAAATCGAAGATGTGCCCATCATGCGTGTTACAGCGGTCCCGCTGAGCTAACAATTCGCAGTTAACAATTAAACAACCAGCCGAACATCTGTTTTTTGCCTACGCACGCACGACTTACACCTTCATGCTCTTTTGTTCTGCTTCAAACGACGAAAGGTCACTGAGGTGAGCCGATTAGGATGCGTCGGTTGGACAGATTCACCCTCTAGCAAGGCGATTGTGCAGGATGGGCGCAAGTTACTGGACTACGCACTCTCGCGTGACTCTTCACTCTCATAGAATCCTGAGAAGCCCTTCCTGACCGCCCAGCTGGGAAAGGTACGCGGTGTCACTGGGGCCCAGCTAATTTCGCGGATTTTTACGAAGCTTCCGCTAACCCATGGACTTTAAATGGCGATATGGTCTAGAAGTACATCGTTGAATAATATACTATATTTAAGTTACTCTTCTCCCAGACCTGCCTCCGGATGCCTAATCAATAATGTAGAGCGTCCAGGGCGAGTTGGTTAAATGGATAAGATCAAAACAAAACTGACTTACTAACTTAGAATATTACAGGGCCAGAAGAAGGTGCTACGCATCGAAATATTGCCTATTTCCAAAATATTCCAAAAATATTCCAAAACACATATGGAATTCCATTTTGGAATATTTTTGAGTTTTATTTTTGGTAATACATTTTTGGAGTCTCAAAATGTATAGGCATTCAATATACTCAACTGAAGCGCCGCCGAGATGCTGTGATCTAAATCCTGCAAGATCTGCTGAGATAATCTCTACGGCTGCTCTTGGCACTAGCTTCAGAAAAAACTCCGGCCACATTCGTTCTTTGATGCACTGTTGCCGATGCTACGTGATTCCACCTTAGCACACTAAGTCCCCAAATACGACCCCCATTGTTAAATGTACATATTTTGACAAACATTTACTGAAAGATCCCTTTCGTACCTCAACTGAGAGATGATTAGCTCTGAGCACATGCAGCATAAGAACCCGATGAATGAAATCATAACGAAGGGCGAACGTCAGCGTCCCACGATAGCAGTTAGTACCGCTCTTCTCGTAGAAACCCAATTCATAATGTAGCATCCTGATCGTATCGTCCATATTATCAAGCTGAAATAACGTAAATATGATACCAATCTCCAACGAGGATATCCAGGTCAAGCCAGTACAGTATCAGTATTACAGCCCACATATGGCTTTAGTGAAGCTCAGAGAACAGTCACGAATAGACAATGGGTCTATTCCAGTTTGGGGGAGGCATCATAATGTAGTTTTTTCAGAAAGCTAGAGTAAACTGAGCCGGGGAAGTGTAGCCTAGCCTATCACGGGATCGGTAGGGGGCGACATGCTTTGAAAAGCTGAATTTTCACAGTTTATACTAGTTCTGCCGAGAACTATGCATCATGCCCTCCAACTGGATCCGACCCAAACATTTCTTCCTAGTTCTATAATTGGAAAGAATAAAAGGGCGAACAAATGAATTCAATCTGGCGGACCAAAATAATTTATAACTAATCTTTAGCCTCACTAGAAAGCTTTACCCGATCACTAGAATAGATATACCAATATATCTGATACTGCTTAGTGCAAATTAACTGGGAGTTGTTTTCAGTTTCTGTGAAAGATCTTGCGTGAAAGGAGCGCGGTGTAGTCGTTACGTGCTCTGAACCATGGTCCGCTGACACAAGGTTTTCGACCCACTTCCTCGGGTCCAATCGCGAACACTGCACATTCTTTGGGTTATTTTGCATCTGGAAAGTTTGAAATTTGTTGTTGACAATCGTTGGTCCGGACTACATAGTCCGAAAAGCATTCAAATAATGCTAAGATTCTGAATGGAAATAGTGTTCGTGGTAAATTCCGAAAAAAAGCTCATCTATTCGCACAGATATTGAAATTTCAAAAAAGGGCGATTCCCGGGAATGTCTATGGTTTCAGTACCCACTCGAGAGTAGTGTAGTACAAATAAGTGAACCACCTCGACCAATCGGCTTGAGGGCAATGCAGGTCGTACCTTTGATGTGCCATCAATCTTAAATTTTTACTGTGCAACCACAACATATCCCAGCGTGTATCACTCCATTAATATCGCACATGCAATTAACTTTTTAACCCAGGTTTTCTACGACACTTCATTGAAACAGGAAAAACCGTTCCTCACCCAACCATCCGAAAAAACTCGTCGAAAATAAACAGAATTTTCTGAACGAATGGGGCAGAAATGAGTGAATACAGAGTTTACTTGGAGCGAAATGAGACAACTGGAGCTTTTTAACACGACCACCTACTCAGATTTTGAAAAATGGCTTTCAAAGGCTATAGATAAGAAATGAATGAACCCTTGTTCAGGACCCTCAAGGCATGTGGTTTCCATCGCGAGTAGTTTATTCACTTCAGCTTGTACCCGCCAAACAAGGAGTCCGGAGAAGCAGATCAATCGCTTGCGCCGTTCTATATATGCATGTGTGTATAAGATTCAGAAAGGATCGGTTTTTCAGGAATCCAAACGCAATACTGCCTACAATGCAAGATCTGGTCCAAGAACAAATTTGCCCCTTTTAGATTCGTTAAATGCTTAACTGATTGCTATGCTCGATAGGCACGGCCCATCTTAAGAAAATGATTAATTTTTCATTGTCCACGCAAATGCAGATATCATTTTGGCTTAAAAGTCGCGTGTGAAAACGAGTGAGGATATGGCAGCGCAGTGATTGTGACTAGTGACTAACAGGAAAGCCGGAAGGATACTTCCTGACGTGTTTCAGAAATCTTCTAGTGAAATTTCTCTCGCGAACTTCCGATGCGATAACTTCAGCTGTGTCATATGGGCTCGATCTGGCGCCTAGTCAGTCTGAATGAGACACTTATTCATTTCCGTTTTCTGGTAGAAACTTCCTTTTCAAAACGGCGCCACAATAACCACATGGGGAGGAGGGGTTGCTGTAGCTCATTTTAAAGTAGAACTAATTAAATCAGTCAAATGTTATGAAGAAAATCAAAGTTTAAGGAACGTAATCACAAAAAAGAGCTACAAAGAAAAGTGGAAAAGTAGAAAAGATTCTTTTAAGGACGAATTCACGATGAAAAAGCAACCCATTTCAAATTAACCTAGGGATGGTGAGTGGTACACGAAAGAAGGAAGAACCATGAGAAACGGCCCAGAACCCGAGAAATGGGACCCCTTCCTTGCCCGTTGATTCGAGCATTGATGCGACTCTCATCGCTGTGCCCTCTTACACGACCCACCGCGCCAATAAGATTGAGCCTTAATAGGTCGCCGAGGTCAACTCCTTCGGTGCCAATTGCGCTTCAGTCAGCACCCTCAGGAGGTCCGCGGGTCCCTCAACTAGGCGGATCACTCCTTCTTCGACTTCCATTCTAATCGTGAATTCGTCCTTTAAATTTAATGTTATGTGCCTTCCGTCATGGAATCCCGAACCTTTTTTCCAATTGCGGCCTTCCGTAAGTGCTACACAATCACTTACATACTTAGGTACAGCGATGTAAGTGTTAATTGACCATCAGAGTCGCTTTGTCGATGCCAAACTTGTTAGACCTTGGGGGGGAGGGGTTCGATCTTGCAAACCGCATAAACGATAGCGGTGGCTCCCGTTAGTGCCCATTTCTTTACCCGTACCCAAACCTGCTATGAAACTAGTGTTTTCAGCTGTTATTGAAAAATTGCTTTTTGGAAGATTCTCTAATTAGGCATACGCTGCTCAGCTCAAGGTCAAGCTTTTGGAAGGCCTTTGAACCATTCGCTTGATACAATTCTTGAAATATTTGGCAAAAAAGGGGAAAAACATCTGTGGTTTCGCTGCTGTTATGAGATGTTGACAGATTGATCCATGTCAATAAGGCGCTTCCTCTGCTCAGGAATAAGTTATTGTGATTATGTCAGAGTTATCATATAGGATTTCGCTCTCCATAAGATATCGCGTTAATTTGTTTTCATCTGCCAATCTGCCAGTTCTAAAAAGTAACACGACAACTTTCAACAGAGCAGCTATGAAGTTAGCGAAATCGAAAGCCTATCAAAGGATCTTGAACGGGTCACTTCTGAAGATTTATGAAAACAACGCTAAAATAACTGACAACGGCTTACTAATGCTGCCGAATGTTACGTTGTTTAGGAATAATAGAGCTTGAAGATTGATAGTAGAGGAAGAGATACCTCATTGCTGGCCACGAGCATTGCTCATACCCACCGGCCATTACTTTACGAATATTGTCTACGAATACTAAGAACGTAGGAATGTTTTCTCCCCCTCTGCACCAATGTAGATTAGTAAAGGAGATCGCTCCCCTTATTGGTCGGTTCAACAATATGTATGTATATTCAAATGGACGTACATAGGATGACTGAGCTTATTATGAGGAATGGATGGAACCGACTCATATAGTATGGAACACTTCAAAGACAAAACGCCTCAGTGAAGATGAGGTCTCAACGTTGATGGCCTACTCGGCTAGCTGATGAAGATGGCATCGATATGCTATTTGCATTAACACGTTGACGACAGCGTGACGCGGTAACGCGTCCCACTTTGCGCACCTCGTGGGACATTGTGACGCGGTAACGCGTCCCACCCAAGTCATCCCTTTTCTTGCGCTTGCGCGACTTATTCCTAAGGTCTTTGTACTCATTCTATAGGTCATACATTAGCATACTTAAAAACCACATGGCTCACAGAAAGGCCAAATATTCTTTAGTTTGGCAGAGGTTTTCCAGACCTTACGGATATGTCTGTTCAGTTCATTCCTCGTTTTCTTTTCATTAACGTAAACATGTTGAAAAAGGAATAATAGAAGTGAATACAAACCTATTCGTATGGGAAGATATGTGTTTTTACTGAAACAACCACGTCCAAATTAATTTTGGAACCACTAAAGGGAAAGTAAGTAAAATTTGCCTTTTCATGGCCTTAACACGTCATTTCGGTCAAACTTCCATTACTGTAACTCCCGATAAGCTAGACAGATCGAACATCATTGAAAACATTTCATCGCATCTAAGTATTGCGTATTTACAGCTCAAAATCCATGGATTTGGTGTGCGGCGG